CTCCTCCTCCTCCTCCTCCTCCTCCTCCTCCTCCTCCTCAGGAGAGGAGCCGCAGCAGCGGCGCAGCTGAATAGCGGGGACGAGCGAGGGGGGGAAGCGAGAAGGAGAAGGCCTTCCCAGAAGGCGGCGGGGCTTCTCCCCAGAGATTCGGCGTTGCAAAAATGATGCTAACGGAGTTCCCCACATAAGGATGTTACGGGGCTGACGGGATCACGATGGCATGAAAGCAGTGCCAAAAAATGAAGGCCTTTGATGTCCATATAGTGTCATGGAAGGGCCGGCGGAGGCAAGGAGGGGAAGCAACATGGGTGGGAGGATGGATGTGTAGGACGCGGTCAAAGGAGGCCGCGCTCGGCAGCATTAACATCAGCAGTGCAGAATGAGCAGCTCGGGCGAGCAAGAGCAGGAATGCCGATAAGGTGGGGAGGAAAGAGAAGAAGGCGTGGAAGAAAGAAGTGGTGATGATGGCAATGGTTGACCAGGAGGATGGTGTCGACATCGTTCGGCGCCTGGGCCTCCCTGGAGGAGTGGGAGGGGCACGAAACCTTGTAAATAATATGGTTTGGGGATACCCTCCTCGCTCAGGCGGGGCCTCCTTGGAGGGGTGGGAGGGGCACCGAGCCTTGTAAATAATATGGTTTTGGGATGCCCTCCTCGCACAGGCGGGGCCTCCCTAGAGGGGTGGGAGGGGTACGAAACCTTGTAAATAGTATAGTTGTGGGATACATTCCTCGCTCGGGCGGGGCCTCCCTGGAGAGGTGGGAGGGGCACCAAACCTTGTAAATAGTATGGTTTCGGGATACCCTCCTCGCTCGGACGGGTCCTCCCTGGAGGGGTGGGCGGGGCACGAATCCTTGTGAATAGTATGGTGTTGGGATACCCTCCTCGCTCGGGCGGGGCCTCCATTCTAAATAGTATGGTTTTGGGATACCACCCTCGCTCAGGCGGGGCCCGCCTGGAGAGCTGGGAGGGGCACGAAACCTTGTAAATAGTATGGTTTTGGTATACCTTCCTCGCTTGGGTGGGGCCTCCCTGGAGGGGTGGGCGGGGCACGAAACCTTGTAAATAGTATGGTTTTGGGATACCCTCCTCGCTCAGGCGGGGCTTCCTTGGAGGGGTAGGAGGGGCACCGAAAGCTTGTAAATAGTATGGCTTGGGGATACCACCCTTGCTCGGGCGGGGCCCGCCTGGAGAGTTGGGAGGGGCACGAAACCTTGTAAATAGTACGGCGTTGGGATACCCTCCTCGCTCGGACGGGGCCTCCCAGGAGGGGGGAGAGGGGCACGACACCTTGTAAATAGTATGGTTTTGGGATACCCTTCTCGATTAGGCTTGTAAATAATACAGTTTGGGGATAGCCTCATCGCTCGGGCAGGGCTTCCCTGGAGGGGTGGGAGGGGCACGAAACATTGTAAATAGTATGGTTTGGGGATGCCCTCCTCGCTCAGGCGGGGCCTCCTTGGAGGGGTGGGAGGGGCACGAAACCTTGTAAATAGTATGGTTTTGGGATACCCTTCTCGATCAGGCGGGGCCCGCCTGGAGAGTTGGGAGGGGCACGAAACCTTGTAAATAGTATAGTTTTGGGGTACCCTCCTCGCTCGGGCGGGGCCTCCCTGGAGGGGTGGGAGGGGCACCGAACCTTGTAAATAATATGGTTTTGGGATGCCCTCCTCGCACAGGCGGGGCCTCCCTAGAGGGGTGGGAGGGGCACGAAACCTTGTAAATGGTACGGTTTGGGGATACCCTCATCGCTCGGGCAGGGCCTCCTTGGAGGGGTGGGATGGGCACGAAACCTTGTAAATTGTATGCTTTTGGGATATCTTCCTCGCTCAGGCGGGGCCCGCCCAGAGTGTTGGGAGGGGCACGAAACCT